CCCATATCTCAATTGAGGTCTTCCCAAATAGAAGTTCTGCGGGGCAGTGACTTGTTGGCCCGTGCACGCACGACATATCCTGGGCATCTGATGGGTGGCTTCATGTTTATCAGCTCTTCCTTGGCTGTCGGTCACTAGACCCAGAGACACGATGAGCAGGCTGCGAAGGATGAGATATGTTGAAATCAATCAGCTGTCGGTAGTGTCCTCGCTTTTCAACGGATATGCCTGCGGGCATAGTATGTGCCCCAACACCACGGCATGCTTGCACTGACGTTATGAGCTGATGCGGAATACTTCTTTTACGTCAATTTCTTTTCCAGTACAGAAGTGCCTCGATAGGAACCGTTTCGGGACGACTGCCCGGGAGAAGGACGACAGCAAGTGCTGTTTCATACTTGGTGAGAGGGAATTAGTCGGAACTGGCCTTTCGGGTGGACCTTCTAGCTTTCAATATTGTTGCTCGTATGAGCTCAAGAACAAGAACGGAGTCGCGGGCAAACCACACTTTTTCGAGGTTGCTGCTGATATAGAAATGTAACGCTGGAGCGTACGGCTGGTCCAATCTCCAAAGTCTCCCATACGCGCCAGTTCTCGCATGAAGTGAAAGGGAGTCCCCGTGTCCCTCGGGCTTCATTACCATGGAGAACTCGCAAAGGAGATTGTTGTAGTCCAACTGTGAGCTTGCTGTACAGGAGGGCCTGCTATCCATTATGCATAATGTCCCTACAGTTGTCGGTCAGTAGGTGACGTGCCAGTTGTCCATACCGAGCTAAATCCTGCACTTTGACGAGCCATGATGATACCACATGGAAGGTTGTGATGCCTCGCCAATGTGCAGTGTTACGCCGGGCCTAATGATTGAACTTCACGCGCACCCGGACCCTATTATTCTCGACATGCGAGTTACAGGTGTGTTTGCTCCATGAGGTCATCGGAACAGTGGGCATATCTCTGGAATTTTGGGTTAGTTACTGATCGCTGATCATCTCCAGACTTTAAGCCCGATATGTGAATCTCTCGGCCAGGGTCCAGTTCCCCGAGACAATTCTGCCGTATCGCGGGGTCGCTATCACGTCAGTCGATAGGCCGGCAGTGGGATGCAGAGTTGCATTTGCATGCCGCGGACATATCGCCACCTCACGCCGCATACTCGCCCGACCAGCCTTGCCACCTCACTGTACCCAGAACACAGCACCCATCATCGCGCTGGATATTCTATGCTGGAGGCTTGACCAGTTGTCGACAGCAAAGCCATTCCAAATAGTGAAGTCACGCATTCGCAGGAGGAAGATCAGGACTCCGCATCTGACATCATGAAGGTGAGCTCGAAGGACCTGACTCGCCGCACAGGAACGACCAGGCGGGAGGAGAGCTTTGATCTAAGTTGAGGGAGGTTATTGGCAGATGAGCAGCCACACCATAAGGTAGGTACAGCATCAACTGGTCATGTCCTGATCCTCGAGGCCAGATTTTGGATGGTGTACACCACGATGTAACGGCGTTCCGGATGGTGCGGTGCGGTGCGGAATAGATGGAGTGCCGAGATCGGTGGTGGAGTGGAGTGGAAGGCTGGTAGAGTAATGCCGTCAGACGTTTGCCGATGGAGCCGTAGTCTTCGGTGAAGGATCGGCCTGTGCGAGCGCATCATGGCTTAGCTCGTGTCATGAATCGTCCATTCAGACACCATAATTATCTCTACGGCTGTGAGCGCTATCAGCGCGGAACCAGCCTGCTGATGTGGTGGTCTTAGTGCATCGGCAGCAACCGGCAAGCGACGCCCTACAGATGCAGATGGGAGCTTGAAGGTGTTATTGCCGGAGCGATGTTGACATCCTCGCATGCTCTGACCCGGGAGGACCGGGGAGCGGCGCTCAGGACGGAGGGGCGGATGTCGCATTAATGACGAGGGTCTAAATGTGGAGGATCGCCATGAGAAGGGGCTCATTCATGCGGTTGTTTGATTGAAGGTGCAGTGTCTCTGCAAGCCTCTTTGACATTGCGATGCTCTGACTTGCACGAGATTCCTTGAAGCCCCGTCCAAAGACCCAAAAAGATCTCTCGAGTGAGGCCGGTTCTTGGACAGCAGAGCCCCAGGGGAAAAAAAAAGAGCTTGTCGAGGCTTGGCTTGAGGTCATCCGTGAGATGCTGATGCAACGACTCGCGAGCACAGCACAACGATGGACGCTGAGTGGTCAAAAGCAGGACCTGTGGCATTGGCCAGCCACGATGCTGACGAGTCCACGCGGATCTCCGGGGAAAGATGCACCCACTGCACCGCAGCACCGTCGGAATGTCTAGCGCCCCACACTGTTGTTCGTCTGGGAAGAAGGAGGGCCCTTGTTGTCCCATCCGTACCCTCCTCACCCCCAGATCCTGATCCACACATCCTTGCGAAATCATCGGCTTCAACTGTATCCATCATTTAGTCTTCTCTTGCTGGCAGTCGGGACGAGGCTGAGCCGGTCATATGCCAGAAACGGACGATATGACTTTGACACGCAGGTTCAAGGCCAACCTAACCGGTCCCTGAGGTAGTAACGGCTGCCAAGGACACCGAGGGCCGCGCATCAAGGTTAGCTAGCTAGCATTACCACTGACCTTGCCCATGGAGAAAATGTCATCTGCCAATCACCAAGACACAGCTAGCGGCGACCGCAACAGGAAATACCAGAAAGTTGTAGTACGGCGCCATGTATTGGCTGAGCCTCGCCTTTGATTGTTGCACTGAAACAGCTGCAGCTGCAGCAGCCGACCCAAGGAACGACTTGGTGTGGCGGCACGTTGGCTCCGAGCTGAAGGTCAGACTTGGTTGCGAACGGTACAGCTGTGAGCGAGCCCTACCAGCCGACCATCTTTAATCAACACATTGCGCACAGGAAAGCCCCAGCCCGGCGCCGACGGCTGAGGCAGGCCTTTGACTTTCTCCAACTCGTGCACGACGATAGAACGGAAGTAAGAAACGCTCTGTGCCGCGCCCAGTAAGAAAGAGAGTTTACCCGGCCACGCCTGCGTCAAGTGCGGGATCAAGGGATCTCCAGCCGAGGCGCCTAGGGCCTCGATGCCTGATCATTCCAGCGTACAAGCCCGTGTGCCACATAGGAAGCTGAAGCCGCTTGAGCACCATCCGCGAGCCGCAGGTCTGGACCCGAGCCAGAATACGGGGATGGCGCGTAGAAAAGGGTCGATGTGGAGGTGGATGTGAGGGGTTTCGATGCAACTGCGTCTGTGCCGCTTGCCTGTTCGGTGCGTGTCGGGACGAGGGGACTGGGGGGAGGGCATACCGGCGACAGCTTCGGGCCGTCCTGAATGAGGGGGATACATGGTACATATTCCGGCCTGTCCGACCTTCTGTTCCTGCTTTGGCTTGAGGGCGCCAACTCGATCTGTTCTTCGACGGCATTCTGCAGGGTCGCACCGGCGACTCGTGTGGGCGATCTGAATCGCGCCGCCGCCAACATGTGCCACATCTCCATTGGAAAGCAGTAACGCCGTGATTGTGGATGCATCGCAAAGACCGAATCTCTGTTTTCGGCCGCCATGTCAAAGCTTAGAATCGGACTAATGACAACAACAATTCCTCTTATCTTGTGCTCGCAAGGTGGGTTGTGTCACGCCAACGCCGGTCCGGTCTTCAGCAGTCAGTGCTCTGATCTGGGACCGTCAGCGCCTAAAAGGGGCCCGACCCTGCGCCATGGGGAGCTGTGCCGTACTATGATGCATGGAAAAGATGCTACAAAAAAGTCGACAGGTACTAGACATTCGTCAGGAGTACGGAAGCCCCGACAGGCTGGTACGCATGCGATGGATGAGAAAAAGTCGAGCCATTGAATTTCTGACAGTACGAAGCTTAGTTATCTGGGTCTCCGTGTGGATTGCTCATAGCCCCTGGATTGACCTGGCCGTGTCTCAAAACAGGGGCAGAGAGACACGACCTGGCCCCTCCCACCTTGATTGCTCGTTACGGCGGTGCACTGAAGGGTCAATCATCAACAAAGACAAGAAAGGAGGACCTGATCGCTAAATTTCGCTTCGTGGCAGATCGCCAGCTGGTCAGGGCAGGCGAAGTGATTTGATGGGCAGGAAGGCAAATAGGTAGGTCCCTTATGTGGTGTAGACGATGGCGCGGCTAGACCGTTGGTTCCAGCAACTCAAATCAATTGCACACCACTTCATCGCGAACCCCAAGCCGCCAATTGCTCATAGCCTCGCCAGTCACCCGCTGCTGGCTGCCAAGTTCCTCGCCTATCAAGACAGCTACGCTGCTACAGGTACTCCTGCCACTGCCACTGGTACATGTAATGCTGCGCAAAAGACAGACCAGTCTTTAAAGCCCGCCAAGGAACAGGGTGCCACACCCCCCAAGCCCGCCCAGAAGAAGCTAGTCTGTCTGAGAAATCCCAGCAGCACAGTGCCCAAGCAACGCGGCAGGACCCCCCGGACCAGGGAAAGAGCGAGTCGCCATTCTCACGTCTCACGTAGGCCTGCCCGGGCTGGTCTTCCCCCGACTTTCCCTCTTTATCCGTTGCTCGCCCACACTCGCCACGACCTGCATCGCCTTCCACTCCTTCGTGACCTTCCCACTACATCGAGCCAGTCCGCCCCGGACGTTGAAACAGGCGCCCTCTCCACCGGCTACACCCATTTCCACACCACATTGCCGTTGCCGGTCTCGCCAACCCCCCTCCGTTCATTTTTCCCTCATTCATCGTCCCAATACCATCAATCGATCGAGGCACGTAGGGACAACAGGCCGATCATCCCTTCGCCCGATACACTCTAGCGGAGGAGGACTGAGGCTACATGGTGGAGCGCAGGATTGAAGCCCTCTGATCACAATCCTCACCCTTCAACAGCAACGGCATCTAAGGTTTTTCGGACGTGCGAATGCTGGGACGCCTTCCACGGGCTCCGACAGCCATTTCCGCCTGAGACCTCCCGCCTGTCGATGACGAGGACGCCCTCTGGCCGATACACTTAGTCCCTCTCGTTGAATCAGAATGGCTGCCGTTGCCAACGACATACTCGGCCTCGTCGCCCGCCAGGCCGCCACTTCTGCCTCGTCTGCCATTAACGAGGTGATATCCACAACGACCTCAGCCTCGTCGACATCATCACCGACGCCCGACCGAACCTCGCAGGGCCCAGCCGGCCCCTCGCAGTCTGAAGGGAACGGGGGCGGCGGTGGAGGCGGCGGCGCCAGCTCCCCACTGCTATTCTTCGTGGCGCTGGGCTTTGGCGTTGTGTTTACCAACCTCTGGTCAGTTTAAACCTTGTGATCTGCTCTCCAAGCGTGAACTTTACGTCACGCCGCAGTCAAGTATGTTTCCCTCGAGAAACAAATACTAACGCGGTAGTGCTCAGGATCATCGTTGGTGTGAAATACTGCTTCCGGTACAACGCTCGCAACCGACAGATGCGCCTGAATGAAGACGGCGAGCCCATTACCCTCGAAAACATGCCTCGCCCGCACCGCCGCCGTCGCGAGAAGAAGTTGATGACGATGGAGGAGGTGAACGAGAAGTTCCCCATGATGAAGTACAAAAGCTGGGTACTTGAGCGCGCTAAGGAAGGCTTGCCCACCGCTGGAGGCGTGTCGGCTCCTCCAAGCCGTGCGGGCAGTGTTCGATCTGTTCAGGGTATTGTTCCCGTTGTCGCTCCTGAGGAGCCTTCAAGGGACCGCAAACCGGCCGATGTTCAGCCTGCTACCAACGCTGCAGCGGCCACGAACGCTCCCGATGAAAAGAAGGCTACCGTCACGAACGACGTAGATGGGAACGCCGGTCAGACGTCTGGCACCACTGCTCAACCCACCGCTGCACCCCCACTGCAACGAGTCCACAGTGAGGACGACGATGACGACGAGCACATCAATGCTGCCGTGCCACCTGAACTGCTTGCCTCGAGCGGTGATACGTGCGCCATTTGCATTGACAGTCTAGAAGATGACGATGATGTTCGGGGCTTGACCTGTGGTCATGCCTTCCATGCCGTCTGCGTTGATCCCTGGTTGACAAGTCGACGTGCATGCTGTCCTCTGTGCAAGGCCGACTACTACACGCCAAAGCCACGCCCCCCGCCTGGTGAGGCCGATCCCAACAACGCCAACGCCAACGCACGTATGAACATGCCCAACGCACCCCCGGCTGCATGGTATAACCTACGTGGGTCTCGCTTGGGAGGGTTCGGTGGCCGTATCGGAGGATTCATGCCCAATGATTCGAGAAGCCGTAATGCACGTGGCAATCGCAACCGTCGCCAAACGGGCCAGGAGGCTACAGCTGCGCCGATTGCGGAAGTTGCTACCGTCACTCAGCCTCCCGTCACCGCAGAGGTGACCCGACCAGCTGCGGCTCCCGCCGTCTCAGGTGCGCGGCAGGGGTTCTCGAACCTGAGGTTCTGGAGGAGAAACAGAAACGGTGACAGTAACAATACTGCGCCGAGTCAAGCTGAAGAGGTGACAGCTTCCAGCGAGGCTGTGACTCCGTCGCAGCTGGAGGCTGGTACGCGTGCAGCGCCTGTGCCAAACACTGAAGTGGTGCGGTGAGCAGTGCTACAGGCTTTGCACGAGAATCGGCAGACCAGTAGAACTGCTCATCTTGAACCATTTCTGTACATTTACCATCTCTCACACAACCGTCGCCTCGCTGGTCTCGGCGTGTTCTCTCACTTTCGACTACAGAATCGGAAGCTCATTATGACACATCTTTGATGCTGCATATTCGAAATACCCCACGACCCCCCCAACCCTATATATCGCGTCTCAGGAGTTTGTTTACTTTGATTTTTGATTTTGCATCAGGGGATCTCAATGAGGACCAGGAGGAGAGATTCACACTGCTATAAGGCAGGTAAGGCACAGCATCGACGCGGGGGAGGATGGGAGCGAGTTGGAATGTCAATTTCTCTCTGGATCTCAGGGGAAAAGCGGCGGAGTTACGGCGACATATGCATTCTCGCTGTATCACATGTGATAACGATTAGCTAGACGAAATCACTCATCAACAAACTTGAATGTCAATTTGCTGTGTGACGGTCCTCGGGATAGTTGTTACGAGCGCCATGGATCTTGTTAATCAAGTACGCATCATGGCTTGAAGGCCTAGCCTATTTTGCAATACCAGCAGATACGGTTAAAGGAACGACCCCTTCTGGAAGCGGCCCCCAAAGTCCTTGGCCTTGCCCAGCAGCTCCCGACGTTGCGTGCTGTTTATGCTGCCCCCCAGCGCCATGTCCTTCTCGCGATCAAAGGCTCGCGCGCTCGGGTCATCCTCCTCCTCCTCGTCCTTCCGCCTCCCACCCTCCTTGCGCGCCGTGGCGTGTGTCTCGTACAGGCTCTTCCCCCTGACAGCCTCGAGATTCTCCGCCGTCCGCCTCGCCCGCTCCTGCTCCTTGCTCGGACGCGCCGCTGCACCAGCGGCAGATGCGCCCTGTCTCTCAAGCTCCGATCCCGCCGGCGCGGTGCGCCCGAGCACGGCGTCCTCGAGGCGCTTGCGCTTCTGCTCCGGCGTCTCTGTCCAGATGCTGCTGATCTCAGCGGGACCGCCCGCCGGCGCCGAGGCGTGCGGCTTGTTGGACGCGAAGCGCCGGTTTTTGAGCTTGGAGGGGTCGCGCTCGCTGTAGCCTGCCGCAGCGGGCGGCGGGGCGAGCATCCAGTCGTCGCGCTGGGGCGCCGCTGGTGCGGCAGCGGGTTCGAGGGCTGCGAGGGCGGCGGCGCGGGACTGTGCAGCCAAGTGGGCTTGCGCTGCTTTTGAGCCTGGCAATGCGGGTGCGTAGTCGTCTTCCGAGTCGGAGGCGTCCGAGTCGGCGCCGGGGGCGTGGACGGTCGGCGATTCTGCGGTCAGCGAGTCTGCTGGTGGCGGCAGGGAGGGGCCGATTGTGCGTTTTGGGGGGAGTGAGGGGCCTATTGAGGGCTTGCTGGCGGATGCAGTGGCGGCTGCTGAGGATGCGGAGGGCCCGTAGTCGTCGTCGTCGTCGTTGTCGGAAGCATCGAGGTCTATCTCGTCTGTGTTCGTCTTGGCGGTCGGTGGGAGGGAGGGGCCGGCGGCCGTCTTGGGCGCAGAGGAACCTTGCGCTGCTGGAGCGCTCGGCCCGAAGCCGTCGTCTGAGGAGTTGTCGTCATTGATATCAATCTCGTCTGTGTTGCGTGCTTGCTTCGTTGGCGGTGACTCGTCTTCTTGGTTGTCGGGGGTGCGCTTGCGCTTCGATGGGCTGGGCGGCATCTGGGGGCCGATTGAAGTCATTGCGAAGCTTGTACTGCTGGGATAAGTGCTCGTCTTGGTGGATTGAGCGGCTGTCCGGGTAGCTCAAAGTCGCTTTTCGTATCGTTGTCGGATGGTCTGAAGGAGTGAACAATTGGCCGTCAGTGGGATCCTCCTGTGAAGCTTGCCTGTGACGGGGGGGTTGATTGCATTGCGATTCCCGACCTGACTAATGTGGTAGCGGATGCACTTTGCGTGACGAATCGGACATGTGGGTCAATTACCCCAATGTCACTGTCTGGCGTCTGTCATTACAGGTCCTCAGGACTTGGTATTCAGTACAAAAGCCTGGAGGTCTGGGAAGCAGGATTGTCTGTCATGCTGTGTGAAATGAAACACGATTCACTCCGAGCCGATGCGCAAGGCAAGTTGAGTTATAGATCCGCGCTCCCCAAGAAGGCAACAGGCGATAGTTGAGCGTGCTCACTTCTGTCTTCTTGAAGACGGGATCATCCGGATCATCATCAAGAAGACCAGCATCACCGTTGGCATCTATGTATGGGAGGACGGCTCTCGGTGCCCAGAGTCTATTTCTGTATCAACCTGGGAAATCCACGGTCTAGCCGTTGAACAATGTTGGATTTATTGCCTCTGATATGGCCGACTTTAGGACTCTTCGTCTCAAGCTAGCCTTCAGTGCCCTTGACAATGCCCAAATCCATGATATCAGGCATAAAAGCCCTGGTATACCAAGGGCATATTGCCAAATGAGAGAAAACTTGCAAAGTATCGAAACCCAAGGTTCATTATTGTCGAGTTTCTTGGATAGGTGACAAACCCAATGAGCTTCCGTCTAGTTTCAAGGTCTGCCACCAAAGGCCATCCAATACAGCCTCCCAGCGCCAAGGCAATCCTACACTCAATACAAGGGACCCACAGCTCAATGAATTGTGCGAAAGATATAAAGGCCTCATGATGAATAGACTAGCTCGCATATTGAGAGGTCCATCCTCATCCAAGAAGCGGATATCAATGAACTGGGTGCAGCCTTATGGAGATCAGCGAGCACGGTGCACAGTTATGCAGATCGCGCAGCCACTTGGCTTTGGCACCCCTGACTGCCAGGCTCAGGCCCGCCGGATGAACCGCGGGCCGTTACAACATTGGCCAGTGGAGCCCCCCC